AGTACAAGAAGGCAGTGGGAAAATGAGCTCTATATTTTTAAACACAGAGCAAAAGCCAACAACAGCGTACTATTTATTTATGCACAGCGCTAAACAGCCAGTCTTTCGGGTGATATGGAGTTACTTACGTTTCATCCCGTATGTAACGTTCTTTCCAACGTGTAGCAGTTGTGTATGGTAGAAGTGTGTGTTTGGTGAGAGCATTACTTCGATCGGTTTGCATAAGCAGAACGTCTGTGGTTGTGATGTTCACTTTATTTGCCGGTAACACAGTTTTGCAAGGTACTGCTTCTTGCATCGTAGAAGGAAGTATTCTTTACCTAGAGCAGATCTGCCTCTACTTTGTTCTTCTGTGCTGCATTTTGGGTCCCATGGTTTGGTAGATGTCGCTGTCGTTGTCTCTAGTAACGGATTTGCACCAATACTTAGCCTTACGTTCAAATCAGCTGCTGCAGACAGACATCTATATCAGGCAGTATACGTGCGTTACCGTGAAGAAGGCTTGTGAGGTACGGGCCGAAACGTCGGCAGCAGTCTGTCACCAGGCAGACTTACTCTTGCATGTAACTAAACCTCCTTTGTGCTTTGCTTCATTACGTGTTCGCGTGGTTATTATGATTGGATTATCACTTACGATTGCGTGCATGAGCAGAATATGTGGTTTGTGATGTCCTCTATACTCTCAGCTTTTCAGCAGTTCTGCCATAACGCGTCATCGGTTACCGCATCGTTAAAGGAAAAATTCCTCTATGAACGCAATAGAAATACCAATGCACGCCCAAAAGCTTCATATATGAAATACATATTAGTACAAAGTCTACCGTCTGCGGTGGTCATCGACAGAGATGTTAGAAAGTAGTAAAGTAAAGTGATGGAATGGATAGAGGTAGAAGTACGCGAAAATTAGCAACTTAGAAATATCTCGATTTAGTTAAATGCGTTAGTAGTAATTCTCGAACGACTGGTGCATGAACCATAAAGCGCGGGTAGGGAAGTGATGACCCATGATTGATAGTAGTATATATGCGAAAGTACAAAACGCTGGAGGACTAATAGGATGAACGTTCAGACCTTGCCTTTGCGAACTATAAACAACTCGCATATCAGTATCCTGACGGTAAACATAATCGTTATCATGGCAGAAATGCTTTTTCATTATAACTGGTGATATCTTGCTTAGCGCGGTTGGTTTGGCTAGAAGGAACAAATGGCTTACAGCTTGTTTTGCGTTCGCCCCTTACTTTGCAACGTGTCTTGTAGCAGGTACTCAGAATTGCCTCATGTACAAAAGTCTCGTGCTTCGTTAGTGCTGGCAAGGGCATGTAATAAATTAGCAGCTTCACCGCAAAACTAAGTACAATGTATCGTCAAGTGTTGCGCAGCACATACGATGTTTGTTGATTGCATCTGCGACTTAGATTATTTTATTACAGTATTTAGAGCGTAGAGCTGGTTCGAACAGTCAGTCATTCGTGTATGTGGTCAAATTCTAGACAAGTGATTGTTGAGTTGATTTGTAAGTTTTTAATTATGTCAGTATTAAGGCCATCTTTCATGAGTATGCGATCATCGCTGAATGTAGCAGAAAAATCTACAATAATCTTGAATTGCATGCCATGAGCAACTGCTAAGATAGATCTTCATTCGTCTAGCTGTCCTCACTTACATTTCTCTGACTGCGTTTGATTTGTTGCGACATGTTATCCTGTTGCTGAGTAGGGTTGTGTATATTTCTTTGTTCATTCTGTTTAACGTGTTTTAACTCGGATGCTCTAGAACAAGATACATATTAATAAGTGAGTGAACTACAGAATGAAAGCAAGATTGTACCAGATATCATAAAGAAGGTTGGCAAAAAGTTTAGTTTTTCCAGCAGACTCCTTCTACAAACAAGATTTTGGAAAACAATATCTCTTTGCATGAAGACAATCTTATATTTTAACATAAGGCGTTGCTCTTCAGAAAGTGGCACTTAGAAGTTACGTAACACGTGGGATAATTTTGAAAATACGAACGTCAGCATTAAACATATTTGCATGATCGCCTGCATGAAGCGAGAAAGTGAAATAAATCGTTAGCCTTACTACTTTTGCGTCTGAATCCTCGGCTTAAATGGTTTCGAATAAGGGGCGTTCGTGATCAACCTAAGCAACTGAATCGCAGTTATAAATTCAGTTACAATTTAATGTTCCATTTGTACTTCGTTTACGTGGCCTAATAAATGCCAAATGTTCTTTCAGGATTGCTTCACAAAATTTTCAAGCAACACAGTCGGAATTACGTTTTATCAAAGACCGCTTACGGTTTAGAAGTCTCCAAAATTCCTCAAGCTATGTTTGGCAAAGCATGCTCCGTTTACGGAGTCGGCCCAAAGAGTGTGTTGCTTCAAGCGCCGCGAAACGCCATTAGCGCGAGCAGTTCGTCGCTGAATTTTAGATTTAACGACAAGCACGGTTGCGGCGCTGATGAGGCAAGTCAAATCGAATATTTCAGATGCCATCTTCAGCACTGTCGTCGGCTTATGCCAATTTTTATGCGTGTTCATGTTTAGAGCTTCTTGTCAACTGACAGCATAGACTCCTGCAAACGCATCGAGGCTCTAGAGGCAAAAGTATGTAATCTGGAGTCACTCGTTCGTAGCAAGCCTCAGAAGATGGCGAGTTATCAGTCCACCCCACTATTGCCTCAACAGGCTAACCCTTCCCATCCGCCGTCACCCTCGAATTCCAGTTATTACAATGATACCCAATTTTCACGGCGCTGCAGCGATGAGAATGAAGAACAACAATTGAGGTGAGGAAGAAAGCATTGGGTTTTCAGCTGTTAATGATTTTTTTATACTTTTCATCTGGCGTATTTTGTAATTTTTTCTACTGGCTTTGATTACAGATGAAACATTTGTCTTAGAAAGATTCAAATGAGGAAACTTACTGTAGCCAGTTATCCGGGAAAGTGCCTTGGAGGGAACTGACTGCAGACGGCGAGTAGCATAGGCAGCCTTCCATTCGGTGATGCGATGCAACGGTCTTGTAGATAGCATTGAAAACACTGACCTTACAGTGTGCAGTACCGTAAAAGTCTCCACTTGTCCTCTTATGCCGTTCTTTTGCATATTGAAAGGACATGTCTGTTATCATTCCTGTTTCTTTTTTGATCGAGATGTCGTTAGAACCTAATGCGCTTTAGAATGCACAGAATGCAAGTCTAACTATGATTATCTCGCAGCTGAAAACTTTCCCTAAAGTTTCAAGATCAGGATTTGCCAAGGGTTCAGCGTATAATACTGAAGGCTTACCTGTAAAATGGTTTCCACCGAAGCTTATCTCTGTTTTTAGTAACCTTAATGAATTTATATGGTTTGTACGAAGGGACTGCAGAACCACTACTCTACCGGATCTTAAAGTCTGCAAAGATTTTGTACCTCGAGGTGGCGATTCTCCACTGAATTGTTACGCGTAGCATTTTCGGCAGAGCTCTATTTGTACTGTAAACAACTGATTGATTTCTGTAGTATGCAGGTACTAAGTCATAGGCCTTCACTATGCCAGATCAATCCATAGTACAAGATAAGCGACTCGATGCACTAACTGAAGCTACTTATCCCATGCTTGGGCGACGTTGCTGGATCAGCGAACAGTACATTTTGTAGTTAACACGGTCTGTCAAACCGCCATGACTATAGAGGGGAAGACACAAGTAGACTTGAAAACCAAAGCGATAGTACCCCTGTTGAAGAAGGGAGATCATTGGGAGCGCTCCAGTTGTCTTGGCGTTACCTTACTGAGAAAGCCTCCCTGGAAAAGTCTACGCAAAGGTGTTGGAAAGGAGGTGCCCCGGAATTTCGAACAGTAATATCCAAGACTCTGGAGAGCACTGACGCAGATGGTTAGTAAACTGTTTTACATGCTTAAGTGCGGGTTCAAACGCGGCGCGCTGTGTTGTTCTATTGTGCACGGAATTCATCCTGTTGTGCTTAAAAAAAGTAGTAGGTCGCTGACTTGCAAATAATACGGACAGCATGGTGCTTTGGTGCAGGGTGTCAACAAAAGAATTTTAAAAATTTTCATTGAAACAAGAACAGTATGGCTTCTGTTCAGGCCCAGACACCTCTAGCCAGATCTTCGCCTTACACCAGATTGTTGAGTAACCGCGAGAGTTCGTACAACCTGTTTACATATTTTGCTGACGTAGAGAAGGGCTATGAACAAGTCCCGCGCAACAAGTTATGTGCGTTCATGCAAAAGTCAGGAATGGATGGTTGTTGATGCGAGCCACCCAGTCACCATACTTGGTTGATATCTGTTGCTGCATGAGAGAAAATGGCGTTTAGTCGAGGCTGTTCAATCTTAGCACTAGTATGCGCCAAGGCTGTGTTCTGTCCCCTCTCCTGTTTTTGTTGTACATGTATAGAATAGTCAGAAGCAGCCAAGGCGATGAGTGTGTCGGTGTAGGAGAGGTGGAGATGGGAAGGTAGCTGTTTGCGGACGAGCCTGTTTTACTGGCATCTTCTGAAACTGATTTATGGTGCTCCCTGGAAAGATTCGCGTCAGAGTGCGATATGACCGGCATGCGTGTGAACGCATGTAAAATAAAACGTCTAGTGGCTTCTCGTTCTCCTACCTGTTGCTCTCTTCAAATTAACGGTGTGGCAGTGGAGCAGGTGGAGAAGTTCAAGTACCTCGGAGTTGTGTTTACTGGTGATGGAAAATTTGAGAAAGGGATCGACCAGCAAATTGGAGTAGCTATTGGTGTTCTGCGTGAATTAGCTCGAACCGTTGAGAGTAAGGTAGGGGGAGCCGAATTTTAAGGCTAGTCTCTCTGTGTTCGTTCAAGTGGAAGCTCATTTTCATGCTCACCTATGATAATGAATGGTGGGCTATGGCTGAGAAACTTCGATCTCAGGTGCAAGCGTCCAAAATGGGGATGTTGATACGAATCGTTGGGCTCAAGGGTCTGGAAAAATTCCGTTGTTCGTATATCCGAGAAAGCTATGATGTACAGCCGCTGCTTCACCGCATTGAGAAGTCATAGCTGCGACGATGTTGGCAGCTTTTGTGAGTATTTCCAGTAAGGAAGGCGAAACGGCTGCTTCTTGCTCAACCGACCGGTCGAAGACCCCAAGAAGAACCAGGAATGACTGCGGCAAGTGCTTCGACTTACTCTTCGCCAGGCCCGGTTTGCCTTCTACAGAAGCGCAGACACTGGTGCAGAATCAAAAACGCTGGAGACTTTTCGACGCTGATCCGTCTGCGATCTGAAGGATAAGTGGCCATCGAAATTGCATGGCTGAAGCAGAATGGTTGCAAAGGCTAAACGATTTTATTGGCCGATATTATGGAAACCGTGCTGGGGTTCTTCCTACGAATTCGTCCTTCTGTATGTTTGTTCTACTGTTGTTTTTAAAAATTTCCTCATTGTTCTTTTCGAATACAACTCGATGACATGGTCCGTCAGGATCCTGTGCTTTTCCACCATGGGACGTTTGCTTCTTTTGCCAAAACCCTGACATCGCTAAAACTTTTTAAATGTAAATCATGAATCTAATGCTAAGTAATTCTCGTAATCCAAATATAGGAGCAGTGCGCCAAGTTTAACTTGTCCAGCAGATAGTTGTGACATTACGGTGCAAGATAACGGTGGATATTGCTCCGGATTTAACAGTGACTGGGCAGTCCTGGTTCCATGCTAAACTGCTTAAAAAGTAAATGAATAATAAGTATCTAAAATCAATGAGGGCGCATTAACTTCAATTTAAAATCAGTGCCTAGATCTCTCGGGAATTTCTTCTGCAAGGCACACCAACTGCACGTCTACTCAACCTGCGCAACCCCGTATGTTCTTCTTCTTCTTGTGTACGGCAACGATGGTTACAAGTTAAGATCTAATTTGGATAGCCAGGCGATGAAATCCGTTGCCAGCGCATGTAATGCGCTGATTCCTTTCTCGAATTTTTTAGATTCGCACTGGTTAACGATGAGGTCGACTGTTTGGCATGGGTAACCACAGTTGCACGGTGGAGTTTTTGTTGAGTCACTTGTGCAGGTGATGTGCAGTCCAGTCGCAGCCCGTTTGTTGATCGTCGTCCAGTCTTAAGCGATGTTCACATTCATGTAGCCAAGACTTGGCATTGATGTGTTTTGAAATTAAGGCAATTAAGTTTGTCCGGTTACGCGAAAGGGGGCCATCGAAAGATTTCTGAATCAGCTGCTTCCAGAAAATGACAAGCTTGAATAATAAATGCGTACTGTGGTACGTAAGTCTAATGCAGTTCAATAAATTTTACCCACTGACAGCTAGAAGGTAGACAGCGTAATATTCCACATACACATTGCTATCATTAGATGTAAATATCAACTAACTACTCTTCGATCTGGAATTATGGCGGAAATATTTCCTTCCCAATTTGATTTTCAAAATCAAAAGAATCAAAAAAAGGTTATGCGAGTTATTTTGACACCGTATTAGAAAACAGAATTCGTTATTTTCGACAGATGCATCCCGTCTTTTTACACTAGACGATAAGCATAAGAGTTTACGATGGGTTTCTTGCGGATGTGCGAACTTTAAATGAGTTGTGAATGTCGAAGTTTGGCGTTTTTCGACATTAAACCGTTTTCACACTTTTCTTCGACAATCTGGCTAGCAAATACAGGAAACAGTTCGTGAGATACGTTACTTTACATCTAGGAAAGCTGCAACCTGGTGAAAAGGAATCAATGTCCTGGAAAGAAACACATAGGATTAACTGATAGAAGTATATTCTGATATATAAGACTTATGACTAGAAAGAAAATCTTTGAAATGATGGAGATTCTGTCATCTGAAACAGTGGAATATAGGTAACTGGATCCATTATACAAGATATCGACGAAACCAGATAATGGAGTCAAATCCAAGTAAAGATGCTAGCTAAATTACTTGTATTCATGCATGTTTGACGTGCAGTATTAAAATTGGAACTGCAGAAAATTGTCTTGAAGTGAACACTTCCAATCGGTATCGACAAAAATTGTCAGACCCTAATTAAGTGGAGCCTGCGATCGACCCTTTCGCAATGAGAAAATTCGCGAACTCTCAGTGACCGCGAGAAAATATTTGCCGGGACTGTCGCAGTGGAACAGAGATCGAATGGTCATCGCGTTTTTGGAAAAAACACATTTATCCACAGCTTCTGTTTTTATTCACTGCTGAGGAATTGGAAGCTTGTTGCAAGTTAAACAAATCAAATCAACAACCTGAACCTTAACTCATGATTTGGTAAGTTCGATTGTGTAGTGATATTAAAGTGAGGCTGTAGCGGTGACAACCGTTGTTTTACTTTGTGACCAACTCATTGTTGTAGACAACGTGATCTGGAGATCAACGAGCTGCGACAATCTTATGACAGAAAAATTACCGAGCTTTACAGAGAATTATGCATGAAAAACAGTCAATTGTCAGCCACTACCAGTCAGTTGAGAATTTTGCAGATGGGAAATCAGTCTCCGACTCAACAATTTTTACCCGATGCCTGCCGGAAGTACCATAAAAGCAATGCGAACGAATGCGACAGTCCGTTATACGATAGTTTTGCGAAACTGACCGATGAGGATTGGCTTATGTCAAGCGAAAACCTGGAATCGGATGCCGAAAGGTCAAATCTGAAGAAACAGCTACGGTCGTGGGTAGAAAAATACAAGAGGCTGAAATCAAAATGTCGCGACCGACTTTCATCAATGAGCCAAGAACTACGTGGTATTCGCGTTGAACTGGAATCGACCAAGGTTCAACTGTCACTTCAAGAGTCCGAAAATTTTGCTCTCAAAGCGGAAAATAGCCAGGTTAGTAGGATATGGTTTAACTATCCCTTCCCTGTCAGAATGCTTGTTTTCTGGTGGTTTGGTTGGTTTCGCTTTTAATTCGACGGACAAAAACAGTATGAAATGTTATCCTCCGTAAACTTTTCCTGCCCTCTGCCTAATTAACCATGCCGTCTTGGTCTGTTTCACGATTTCGGAAGTTCAGCCTTGACTCAGTCATTCATGCCTTTGATTTCAGTGCTAATAATGCAGAAATTTCTGGTGTTTCTTAGCAGGTTTACATGTATATTGTGCGTGGTATACCGTTACTCTATATACTCTATTATGTGTACTATATATAGTATTCTACTTCCAAGTTGTAGTTCATCGCCATACAAAGCGCTATAGGTCAAACTGATTACCAAATGTTATACCTTATTGGCATTGAGATCAAAGGGATGAATGACTGACATGAATGAACACTGAACTGCTGACATTATTACATGGACCAGAGCGAATGCAGCTGACACGATGAATAAGGTAGAGGGCAGAAAAAGGTTGCGACGGACAGACGATGATGTACCTATGCTTCCATCCAGAGTGATAGTCTGTTCATACCAGTATGAACTGAAATCAATTTGCTTTTCAGTCCAGAGCGATTGTGCGGCATTACTCACTAACCCTCAGCCTGCATTAAAGCCATGGCATAATTTTATATGCAGGCGGCACTGCTGAGACTTAGGTAGGGGAGTCAGTTTAGTAATAATCTAGTAAAACCGCTCTATTACAGGCTTGAACTGAACAGCAAAGCATTTGCAGTCTATACTGATATGGACGGATTACCACTTTAGAAAGTAACATGTACATATATAAAATGTGTATTGGCAGAAAATCCTGAAACTGCGTGTGTTTTTCTTTGCAGTGAAATAAACTACACAAGAAGACATAAGAAAAACACGTATTTGCTTAGGCTGACAAAAACTCATTAAGCTTTAATAGAGAGACTGCCTTACATCGCCCTTAATGTCTGAAGTTTCAAGCGTTCCATACAAGGAGGAAAAGAGAAAATTACAGTGCAACCCTCCTAAATTAATCTTAACATTGTGTTCAAACGGGAAGTAAAATTTTATTACTTTCTGAGCCACTTGAAAGCAAAGAAACGGACGACAGAAATTTAGCTGAAAGTAGTGTATTTATATGTATTTAGATAGTACACTCTGCTTAGTTGAAAGTTGAAAAGACTGACGCGCTTAGAGAAACACAGAATCCAGAAGAATTCTCTGGAGATGGAAAACGGTTGATTCATGAAAAAAAATATTTGCAGTATCGAAATTAGT